TATGGTTCAGGTTTTGGCGTTTCTGAGGTTGGACCTTTGTGCTTGAGGCTCTAATAGGCTCCAGCCACCCCACGGTAAATCCCAGGTGGCAGGCCGTATTGGGCTGACGGAGAACCCGACCATCGCGCTCCAAGAGACCACCAGCAAAGCTGTCAGCATGGTGAAAGAGAGCTTCGGGTGCATGGCATTTAGCCGGTGCGACTTGTTGCTTGTCAGTGAGTACGACTACTCCTGCTGCTGCTGCTTTTGCGGCTTCGGCCTACTCGAGGAGTTTTGCATTCGTTCCAAGTCAGATTGCTGGCGGTTAAGGAACGTGAAAGTCATGAGCAAGCAAGTGGACGAAGTGTTGCGAGAGGAATGCAACGCGGACTGAACAGTGTTGAGCGTAACATGGAAAGTCTCAGCAGTCTGCTTCCAAGATGTACGGCCGACTCAAATTCCTGTGTTTAAGATTCTCGGAGCTTTAGCCGTCCTGTGGTCCAACCCTTGGCGAAAAGGGCATCCATCCCGGATTTTCTGCATCCATCCCAAGCGTGGGAGCCAAAATCGCGCTTGGGTTATCAAGGCGATTGTCCAATTCTGTCATCTCCCGGAAACCCAACTGCTACTGTGAGTCATGAACGCCGTCGAGTCGATTTGTAAGCTGTGCAACCGTCGCGTTTCACCTTGTAGCCTGTAGGCCGCAGGCACCACACCAAGAAACCTTGAGCCTTCGAGCAAGAGAAAGCGCGTCATCTACAAATCCCAGGTAATGCCTTGGAAGATCGGCAGGAGGATGTTTGCGACATGACTGGTGTTCTGTAATGTTGAATCCGGGGGCTGCTTGGCTTCGGGTCTTGAGGTTCATAGGCACGACTCAACCTTGTGTGGGCCGGCTGTCGTTCTTTCGCATAGCTACTATGAAGATGTCGCGGATTTGCAGACTTTGGGCACAGGAACGTCCAGTGTTCGAGCTGTGTAAGTTCCATGAACGCGTGGGCTTCGAACAAGATGTCGGGCTGTGGTCCCTTTGTACGCATCCTGCTTTCGTGCATAAGTTCTCACCTGGCACGCTCTAGCTTCCAGATTCTGCGCCATCCAACTTGATCCTCACCATTGCAAACTGAGAACGCACCACACATTTGGGCGGTTGTTAAAATTGGGGTCCCTTTTTGGCTCATTATTATAATACGGCACCTATTATTTAAGGGGATCCAAAAAGGGGCCCTAATTTTGACAACCCACCCATTTGGTTTCAGCTTCACCCTTGGACCTCCTTGGACTTGTGGACCGGAAAGCTTCCGGCCCTGGTGCACCCCACAAAGGCAGTCAGCAGAAGGAGTTTACCGAGGCTGGGTCTACTCACAGCTGCTTCCTTTATGTCCACTTATTGTGTTAGTTTTGGCCGGCTGCTGTTGCGACCGTTTCTCCTCTCCCTGCTGCGGCTACAAGACGATAACTACTTACTATAGTCACTGCATTACTCCTGCTACTGCAAACGGTACTCCAACCAGCGCCATTATTGCGACGACGATTGCCGTCGGCAGTTCCACTACTGCTCCTCCCCCTACTGTGCTCCTACCCTGACTGTTGCTGCTCCTGCTATTGCTACTGCTACGGCTGCTTCTTGCAGACTTTATGAACTCAGTGTAGAGGTTTCCATTGTGGGCAGGGCGTTCCGAGTCTGGTGAACGACACTCGAAAGCCTCCACTGCCGGCAGGTCTCCAAACAGACGAAATCGCGGCTGTTGGATTTGCACCAGGACCTCCACAAGGCCTGATCTGAAAGAAGCCTCCTATACCATACTATACAATACTACACTATCATCAGAATCCCGTAGGCCGCCGAAGTTCATTGCTGTCAAGCAGACTGGCTTAAATGCTTGCGCACGGGAGCTGCAACTTCCGCCTTAACCCCACACCGGGGAACAGACAGTGACAGACCCTCAAGAGAACTGCAGGACACTAAACACGCATAAGAGGAGTGAAACCTGCTCTTTCTTCTACGTAGGCTGAGTAAGATAAACAGTCCGAAAAGCTCAGAGGCATCGTTAGGCCCTAACTGGTCTTTGGCGAAAGCCGAATGCTTATCACCAGTTGCTCGCATGGCCACATCCGGACCATGGTCGGCAGGTTGCCATGTCGCTGCAAGAGATTGCAGCAAGCCGGGAGATCAAGGAGCAGTTCCAGCGCAGTGGCATGCGAAGAATCTGGATACTTGGCTTCGGCTTCTTGCACTAGCGCCAGTCGGCATTTCGGTCCAGGAATGAGGATCCAGGTTTCGGGTGGCCGGTTTTGCACGCTCGGAACCGTCTCATGGAAACTGCCACAGAGGCAGCACACTCACTTTGCGAATTCGTGAGCCTGGTAAGGCAGAGCTTTTTTTCGAACTTGCATCAGACGTAAGATGCCGGTGCGGTAGCTCACCTAGGAGCAGTTGGGTTGGGCATTGGGCATTCCCAATTCGGAAGGCCTTTAATGAATTAACTAGCCTCATCTGCCAGAAGGCGCATAAAAATCATTTGTCGACCCGAAAGAATCCGTTGAAACGCCTGGCCGGCCCTCCAAGCCTCCCGCAAGTAGAAACCAGAAAGTCGGAGCTTCATCATGATCCTGGTGCCCTTCAGGTATAGCATAGCCAGTCCCCAGCACTTATCATCCCTCGCCCATGCTCCAACTCCCGAGGCCCAACTTCGAAGGGACATGCAGGGAGGTCGTAATACCTGAAAATCCCCCTGGGCTGCTAAGGACCGGGGTGGAGGCAATGTGCGCTGCACCTACGCAGGGCACGCAGCGGCAAAGACTGCTTTCCGAGTCCGACGGTTGAGACTTCGCATCCCCAGCCAGAATGTGTATGGCGTTGATAATGAGGAAAGGATTCTGGCTTCGTCTGACCAGTGGGATGCGATGCTGGGTCATTGGATTTGAGAGCTTTCTCGCCCCCGTCTGCCTCGTATGTCTCAAGATTTGCGACTTAACGCCCTGTGCGAGCTCAAGACGACACCACCCTTGCCCCCCTGAAAACCTCTTGGTCGGTAATGTTTAACATGCGAAAGTTCAGCCACAAGTGCTAGACGAGAGTTTCAAGGCCAGTTGCCAGCCGACTTGCCTGAAATGTCTTGAAGCAGCAAGTGTCACCTGTTGCCACCGAGCAGCAGATGGATCGGGAGTTCTGAAGTCCATCAGAAACGACTCTGCGACGACCACTGTTTGCTCTGTGGGGCAAACTCGGGCATTCAGGCTCCATGCCAGGGTTCGACGTGAAACTTGTTTGCGGCCAGTGGAAAGCATGTCGCTTGTCCCAACAATGCTAGGATGCAGCGAAGAATCCAGCAACTGCAAAGGTGGAATGATTCGGAAATCAAAGAGACACCCAGATCACTGTAAACAGATGTTGCATGCCAAACTACGTATGGATTTGCGAGAAGGGAAGCCGTGAAGGGGTTTTGTTTGTTCCGTGTGCTCAGATGCCCCTCCACCGACCCCTTCAACACCGACCAATAGTAGCCTGGAGGACGGACCACGTATTTTGTCCGCGGCCAGGTTAAATCCGAATCCGAATCACTTCAGCACCTACGGACTTTCACCCTCACCCAAAGAGATCCTAGAATACCTATACCTCCATGTCGTGGACTGGTTATGGTTGCTTCTCTCATCCAAAACCGAAACAAGCTCCTTGCTCCAACACTTGCTACCACCCCTGGTCGCGCCACGGTGGCTCGTGTTGAGACCGCTCCGAGCTTCAGATACCACAAGAGCCAAGAATGAAATGCTGTTTATGAGTGTTATGATCATGAGTCTTTACTTCATTGAGGGAGGCATGTTATTATCAAGGCATTTACGGTGGAAAGGTCTATACAATAAGCGAATGTCAGACAGAACGTCACGAAGTGGATGAAGACGAACTTGAAGCAAAGGAGATAGGAGCAACCAAATCTTATGTGCTAAGTGATTCGGAGAAGAAGACTTTGATAAATGGGTTTATGTATATCAGGGAGTGGTCGTTACAACATCATAATTTTCAGGATGTAGGAAGAATATAAGAAATTAAGCGATAATAGCACTAAGGTATATGGTGTGAAGACGAACTGCTTTACGATACACGAAGATGATGAGGATAAGGTGTACGGATACAGGTTTTGTCGTGTATGGAGAGAAGGATTCTTAAATTTGGAACTGACATAGGCGATTGGAGACTGGAGGAAAAGACAACCATTACTACGCAGTTATACACATACAAGTTGTGCGAAGTGCCGGAAATTCCGAAGTTAGTAATATCAGAGTTAAAGTTAAAGAACGAGTGGGATACCAAAACAATCTGCGAGAGAATTATGTTAGGAAACCCCGTGATAATTCATGGAGGTTTTCCAGGAACGGGGAAGAGTTATATACGTAGAAAAGGAAGTAGAAGCGACAACTTATAACAAGTTTTTCAGCATTGCTGTCCATGAAGATGTGGGGGAAAAGTTGCCAGTGTTTGACTATTCGCCTTTCAATGTGGTGGTGTTTGACGAGTTTTATATGCCAATTTTGTATTTATTGGATAAGGTCAGACGGCGCATGAAAGAGTATCCTGGTATTATCGTTATTGGGACGGGTGATGTTAGACAATTACAGGGAGTGGAAGTTATGACAAATTGCCAGAACCCAGCAGTTAATATAGACAACTGTATACATGTAGCATTTATACAATATATTCTTACAAGTGTGTAAGAGAGTAGGAGCGAAGGACAGCGAAGAAGGAGACAGAACCAGCAAAATCATTAACAGCATGCATAACGACTTTTGGGAGACAAGTTTCCTATTAAAGGCATTATACCGAAATATGTTGAAACGCCTGACGACGTCACATCGAACGTCAAAACATGAGAGAAACTACATCCCAAAAATTCGAACGACAGTACCGCAAAGCCTGCAACAACTGTCAGGTTGAACCCTAAACCCTAAAGCCCTAAACCCTAGTTGCGAGAGCGTAAAGCCCTAAACCCTAAACTTTCTAAACCCCTAAACCCTACTGTCAGGTTGGCCCAGGAAAGTGCAAGATGGGCTGCGGCCTTGATGCGGCCAAAGGCTCCGTGAAAGGGAGCTGCTGGTGCTGGGGGGGCAGGATCTTACGGCTTAGGGTTCAGGGGATTCCGAGCCCAAAACCCCAAGCAATAATCTCTGAATCCCAAACCCTAATATGCCCTAATCCCTAAGCGATGCTTCCCTCCCCATGCCAAAAGCGTAAAAAGTCGCGGCTTCGGGCCATGGCTTTCCGACGTTGAGTGGGAGGATTCAAGTGGCCTTAACTATTGGAATAGTATCCTGCTAAAGGGGTCCTTAAAAGGGCTGCGTAAGGGTTAGTTACCACACTGGTTTTAAGGGTTTGCGTCCTGTGATGTCCCACTGTGTTTGTTTGGACGGGCTGATAGAGTGGGTTGCTTCGAAATCAAAACTTTGGAACCTGCAACTCAGATCCGCGAGCAGAAGACCCTGAACCCGGGTCCTCAGCTGGATGATTGTCAAAATTAGGGTCCCTGTTTGGGTCCCTATTATAATACGGCACCTAATATTTAGAGTGCCCAATTAGGGACCATAGTTTTGACAACTACCCAGCTTGCCTTGGTAGACGCAAGCCGTGGTGCTGTGGCCACCAGGCCGCGACTCTTCTGGCTGGGCCTTGGATACCTGTTGTCCGAGCCTTTGAGCGCGTTTGTGTCGAGGGCAGCGAATAGCAGGTACAGTAAGATTGGGGCGCAAGATGGTGTTCAGAATCAGGCTTGCGGCGCGATGATGTTTACGGCGGGCTCCTGCGCTTGCACTTTGCACCAAAACTCTTATGCAGCTGACATCCTGACCTGTACAGTTCCAGTCTGGACCCTACCTCATGTGCAACGATGCCAACAGTATTATCGGCAGCACCAGGAAAAAGAGAAAGTGCATCTGTATCATCAGCAGCAGCACCACCACCATCAATCCTGTGGTGGCTGGGTTTTGGATACTGTCGGGATCCACAAGCTACGGTGCCAAAGACCCTCGCTCGCGAGCCTACATAAGGCCGTGGTTGCGCCACTGGCGAAGGCCGGGACCCTTTAGCTAGTTGAGTCTTTCCAAGAGAGCTGGACATGCAAGCTGCTTCAGGCTCCGACTTTCTAGCTGTGATAGCACACATCCCCGGGTTAATGCTCTAAGCTATCAGAGCTCAGGCCTTACAGGTGGAATGTTCAAGGCTTTTCAGTTGATGGTTTAGTGGTTGGGGTTCAGGTTAACACAAGACTGTTGATGGAAGGAGGTTGGGTTGCAAACTGGTTTAAGTTTGGTAGGCAGCTTCGGTTGTCGGGTCTGGCCTGAAACATGTATATGCACTATACATCTACATACACGCACTCTTATATATGTATATATACATATATTAGATATACATGTTGCAACAATGCTGGGGGTTTAGGCTGTGAGGAAGGTGGTCTGACACCAGCATCACATCTGCTTACTTTAGTGCCCTGAACAACAAATGACATTACTCCTTAGGCTTCCCCGCTTCCTTATTATGCTGCTACCGTCATTTCCCCAAAGCCCTATTCGGGATTCTCACAGTCAACGAGTTGAGAGCTTTCGCCGAGAGAGCGAAAGATCAGAAATCTGTGAAGTGATTCGGATAGACCAATCCGATGTTGAGCCTGCGCGATCTTCACCTGAGACTCTTGTCTTCAACACAAATGCCCGAATCTCATCGCCAGATGCGCCTCGCAGCAGAGTTTTGCGGCTGAAGCCATGTAGTATAGGGGCCTTACTTAAAGGTTCATGGGACTTAGTAACTATGGTTATAAACAAGGTAACTATACTTATAATTGGATATAACCCCAGTTAGGGTACTTATAACTGGACTTACTAAGTCCCATGGACCCCCAAGTAACAATATGAATGAGGTTTTGGGGTGTATTCTACTATACTGATAATTCAGGGACCCCCCAAATAGCATTAGTAACTATTTAGACCCCTACATTAATGTCCCATGCAGGGCACGACGGGAAGTGCGGCAAGGATGTCGGGGACAGGGACGTACCGTGCGCCTTCCTGGTTTCTTGGAGACTTGGCAATAGCCCCCTTAGGAATTATCTTTTTTCATTTTTGTTCATATAAGACCCAGGAGAATATGAAAAATACTATTTTTATAGTGATACTAAAGGGGGTATAGTTGGCACTTCCGTGGCAGATAGGTCAAGGGTCAGGTCTCGGATCCCGAGTTCCAAATCAGAAATCCGGTTCTTCTGAGTTGAATCGATCTAGTGATGCATTTTATAGTGCATTTTATGTAGCACATCTTGTACTACACATGATGTACTATGTGTTCATACCTAGCCCTAAGTTATGCGCAGGGATCTAGTCACCCCAGGAAGGGCGCAGCGGCTCAGCGAATTTGTTGCTTCGATTGGCCAGCATTCAAGTCGGCAGGTATGCTAACATTTTGGGGGGGCTGTTTGCTTCGGACACCGAAGCTTGGGCAAGGCGACTACACCAAGTAGGCGATTGAGCGCTGAT